TGTTGTGTCTTATCTGTTGACATAAGGCGTATATAATAATGTTTGTAACGAAGGTGTGTGGAGTCTGGTATCACAGTCTTATCAATTGCATCTGTTTTTAAGCAACATATATTTTTGTTTCCTATTAACAATCTAAAAGTGTAAAAATAAACCATAAAAACATGATTTTAAAAAAGGCGGAAAATATTATTGAGTCTCTTAGTGATAGACGTTCAAGGGATTTTCTTCGTCCATATTTAATGGATTAGCAGTGGCCATATAACGTTTTAATTCACTCATTCTGAACTACACCGCAGGACCTACTTATAATATCAAGTAGGTTATCAAATCCATACCATTTCATCTTCACTGCACCGAGTGAAACATTTCATCTATACTTTTACGGCGCCGAGGGACATACATAGTTTTATTAGATTAATACCAATTGTTTTTTAATTGCACCGATGGACACATATGATGTAGCTTTATTAAATCCATAATAAGTCTTTTGAAATAAACCTAGGTCTATAATAATCTTCATACATGTGTGAGCGTTCTTTATAAATAAACTGCAAAGTGCCGACACCAACTCTTTGCACTCACAAACTACTGCGCACATTACCACCATTCAACACTTACCAAGAATCCAGCCCCGTAATTTTATGTTTTTGATATGATGTTGATCCATATGATATCCCACAATTCTAGCATAAATCGGTATATACTCTTTATCTATATTCTTATAACATGTTGTATATTTACATGCTTTGTTTTACGTAAACAAGTTTTAATCAATACAGACCGATCTAGAGACTCATTAACACGGTTTACCTGTACTTTAGGAGCCCTGTCACACTGGGATATGGTTTTTCGTTTATACCTCCCTTTTTCCGTTTGGGTATAACTGTAGCATAACTGGGCCAGGACACTTCCGTTTGGATATAACTGTAACACAACTGGGCAAGGACATTTCCGTTTGGATAAAACTGTAGCACAACTGGGCCAGGACACTTCCGTTTGGATATAACTGTAACACAACTGGGCTAGGACATTTCCGTTTGGATATAACTGTAGCACAACTGGGCTAGGACACTACCGTTTGGGTACAGTATAACTGTACTACAACTGGGCTAGGACATTTCCGTTTGGATAAAACTGTAGCACAACTGGGCCAGGACACTTCCGTTTGGATATAACTGTAACACAACTGGGCCAGGATATTTCCGTTTTGATATAACTGTAGCACAACTGGGCCAGGACACTACCGTTTTGATATAACTGTAGCACAATTGGGCCACGACACTTCCGTTTTGATATAACTGTAGCATAACTGGGCCAGGACACTACCGTTTTGATATACCTGTAGCACAATTGGGCCAGGACACTTCCGTTTTGATATAACTGTAGCACAACTGGGCCGGGACACTTCCGTTTTGATATAACTATAGCACAACTGGACCAGGACACTTCCGTTTTGATATAACTGTAGCATAACTGGGCCAGGACACTACCGTTTTGATATAACTGTAGCACAACTGGGCCAGGACACTTCCGTTTTGATATAACTATAGCACAACTGGGCCAGGACACTACCGTTGAACAGATAGCTCAATCGGTCACAGCGATAGTATAACAATCTGAAGTCCAGGGTCCGAATCCCGTGTAGTCCAACTGATTTGTTTTCAATCAGAACACTGTTGTCGATAATGTTTTTGTTTATTTAACTTTTATTCTTATTTCTCATTTAAATCCCGCAAAGTGTAGTTTCTTTTTCAGAAATGATTGATTAAAACTAGTCATGTCGAAAAAAATACAAATTCTAACACTTAGTTAGAGATTTGGGCAGTGGTACGGGGATCCTTCAAAGAGATCATAGCTATATTGACAAATTATTTAAACGTCTATATATAGTGTACGGCTGGTTAAAAAGACGATTATTGTTCACAGACGAAATGTACAGTACTTGAGATGAACTTGGTTTACTTCAGTTTTCACCTTCTTGTATCTTTCATTCATTAACTCGAGATGGAAGTTACATCAGTAAGCCCTTTACATAAATAAAGCTAAAATCCTGAAAGGTCTGTTCCAAGGCTTAAACAAAACACCAATCAAGTATATGTACCTGTACATGCGTACAAATAGTACATTCTAACACGATTCGTTTGCAACGCGTGTTTTGATTGGATATGGACCATGTTCTAATTTGCGATAGAATCATGATCAATCGTGTTAAGCTCCTCCCATCGCACTTAAGCCACGCCCCGTTTCTAACCAAAACGATATGGCGTCAAGCTCGCCTCTTAGCGAAATCCCGCTGATAATGATAGCAGACAACAGAACAGAAAGAACCGACCGATGAAATGTATTTGTTGAACAAATTAAAATGTAAAAAGTAAACATTCCTTGTTCTTACCTCCATTGATCACTGAAACGTTCGTTCCATCCGTGTGAAGGTATCTAGTTAGATCCGAAATCAAATACAACATTTCACATATTTACGCAAAACTCTTCACAAATCTAAGCAAATTACCGATTTTGTCGATACGCACAGATTGGTATGCATACTGACATGAAAATGTAAGAATTTGATCAATTTTAATCCAAAATTTGGAAACAGGACGTTCACGAACAATATAAATATTCCGCCTCGTCAACTTACAGATCGAGTGCTCGCCAGTAGGGGCGGGCCAAATGACCGACTTTTGTAAGCTTCTTTCTGATTGGTCAGTCCGCTGCAGAATGACACGTCGCCAGTTCAGGTCACAGAGTACTTTACTACGTACTTGAAGTAATGAAATACAATGTTGCTAACATTAGCGTAGTATATGTTGAGGTGTGTATCGGTCTCGAGTTCAAACCAAATTTCATGTTCTAATCGACCGTATAGCCACTCAATGTTATCCGGTGAATATACTCATGGTTGTAAGATTCCATTGGTTCAATCGTGACGTCTAAGACAAGTACGTGACGTCACAGACTTACGCACTGGAGTCAACATGGCGGCTTTTTACATTTCAAGGTTGCATGAAAATTGTCGTTTTACACGAATAAATGCCACAAATCTTGAATATTTGATAAACAGGATTTTACACTCGTTTTCATTTCATATGAAATTTATGAAACTCGTCACGAATTCTCATTTAAGCTCGCCTAATTGAAAAATTCTTAGACTCGTAACTCATGTAAGATCCCGCTTTATGTATTGTTATGAATAATATAGAGTTATTCAATCAGTGAAATTTGGCATCAACAGTCTGAATAAATGACAAAGCTCTGCAAAATGACATCATGATGGGTGCTAGAGCGTTGTGACTTGACTGCCTGCAAAGCTGTGTCATTCATACCAACAGTCAATGTTATATCAACAGTCTATGTTATATCAACAGTCTATGTTATGTTATATCAACAGTCTATGTTATACCAACAGTCTATGTTATATCAACAGTCAATGTAATGTCAACAGTCAATGTTATATCAACACGATTCAATGCTTTCACTTACTATTTTTTCCAGTATCAAAGAAATTGAATAACGTTTATTAATAATAAATAATAATGATATGAAAAAAAGATGACGTCAACACGTATGTCATGTAATGGACAGTCTGTATGAATGTCATATGAATTCGATTTGTTTATGAAGAAGCCACAACATATAGTGGTAAATATATAACATAATTAAGAACTTAAATGAAAGGTTTCTGTTATGTAAGCCTGCTCATCTAATTTGCATAATCCGCCATTTTGGAATATTGAGGTCAAAATCAATGTTAACCCGTTTCATACACTATTTCGGTCGGCTATTAAATAGCGGCGGGTATGTTTGTCAGTAGTTACATTATAGTTTAACCTTACGCCGTATCAAACATTCCTATCCAAGTAGATCATTGTCGATCTTATTAGGCGGCTTTATGGCGCTGGAAATGCATCAAAATCAAATACATTTGCAAATGCAAAAATAACATCGCATTCCTGAAAATTGAATTCTGCGTATCTGAAAATATTTTTGCATATGTATATTCGGTATGCAAAAGTATTTTTAGGTAAACTGACAATGGTGACGCACTTTTGGTGCCACAGAAACTGGGGTTTAACTAATGCTTATACAGAAAATGTATATGATATGAGAAATACTAACGTACTATATAAACTTTTAACTGGTCAACTTGTTTTCTTCTTAACCGTAATAGCAACTAACACATAAAACGCAATATAAAAATGTTAATACCAACAATACACTAGTAAGAAGCGGCCTACAAAATAAAAAGTGTAAATTTATTTTTTTTAAATTTATACATTACACTGAAAAACGACTAAAGAATAATTTCGAATAGGGAGTTTAATACGCGTTATATACCACAATTATCACTTATTTTGCAACAAATAAACTGGTGTCATTTAAAATAAAAATGTATCTTTTAACTATACATGTTAATATGTATGTTAAAGAGGGAAAAAAGACCGCGTGGCCTAATGGATAAGGCGTCCGACTTCGAATCGGAAGATTGCGAGTTCGAGTTTCGTCGTGGTTGAAATTTTGTTTCCTCTCTGTATTTTGAAGATAGTTTATATACGAGTTATTCTTTTGAATAAAATTCATATTTTTGTTTGTTTGCAGCAGGTATAAACAGAACGTTACGACCACGAGCTTTACTGATTTGTCTTCTTTTGTTTTATTTTTTCTCAAGTTCCGAAAATGCTTATCGAGCAATCAATACGAGCTAAAATGTTAGTGTACACTGATCAAAACTCGAACAACGAAGATTTTCCAGTTTACAAGCAATTTATTCAAACTTCATATGATATACATTTTAACAAGGTACATGCATATTTACTGGTAGGAGTCAATTCGTCAGTACCTGGGCAATACTAGTTTAGCTGATACTTTTACAATTTATTTAAAATGACAATTTATAACTTTATGAATTAAGGGATACACGAGTTAGACTCTTAAAGAAGTGTTGTCATTCAAACATTCAAACCCTATGTGTATAATGAAATTAACATACATGGAATCTGTTCAATATTCCTCACCTGTACTCATATAGATTACTTTCTATCTACATTGTAAGTCACAGTGAGCATTGACAAATATACAAACTGTACAATAAAAACAATGGCAGTATGGATTTCTTTGGTCGTCAGTGGCTTCAGCATCGTTTGATTTGATCGTTAAAGGCGACGATTATCATCACCGGACAACCCAGCAGACACAATGATCATCTTCAATGTTACGTTAGGTGATATTTAGACTTGGTTTAAGTTCATGCCACTTGTTTCTAAGCGTCTGTTTGACGTCGTCATCAGCGAAAATGGCGTCTATACTAGCGAGGGACAGCTTCCATACAGACTCTCTGTCCAGTTCGAACGTCTGGGCAGCTATGGCGTACTCCTCTGACAAAGTGGTATCGAACATACCTTTGTCGTCCGTCTGTAACATGTAACAAAGAGAAAAACATCGCATTATACAGTTGTCCACACAATATACAGCCTATAAAGCTCGGACAGTGCCACTAATTCACTGTCAGTAGATTTACTTTCTCAACATCGACACCATGCTTTGCATGTGTAAATATAATTTTGATTTCAATTCTCAATCGCGCTTTTGGAAATACACAGTATTGTGATTGCAAAGATCACGAAAATCACAAATAACCATAAATTCACGTACACGAGTCAATGTCGTTACTCAAACCGAAATAAATATCAGAAACGGCAGAAACGAGCACAATGTTTGTACACACTTGGTAAAGAAACAAAATATTTAAACGTATTTCAAAGTGAGCTATACTGTTTGTGTACTTTAAACATTTTGACAGATAGATACACCAGACATCTATCTGTGAAAATGTCTAAGTCTGATGTCAGGGCCAGAGGAAACACGGGCGAACTGTTTATGGTATGTCATTCATTACATGCTGTAGGAATCTTCACTTCACGATAATACAATAGGTGACGAGATTCCACAGCACTGATTCGTGCTTGGGAGGCAGAAATGAAACAAACTTGGTAATAACATGGACACGTGGTAAATGAACCATTACATATTTGAGGGTTTATATTTCAAGCAAATCACGTATGCAATCTTTTTCGATATCGCATCATGGCAATTACAGAACGGATAACATCATGCATGTGATCCGTTATCTTAATCGCTGTATCCATAAACAGAACATTCTGACGTTCTGTATCCATAAACAGAACATTCCGACGTTCTGCATCCATAAACAGAACACTCTGACGTTCTGCATCCATAAACAGACCATTCTGACGTTCTCTATCCATAAACAGAACATTCTGACGTGCTGCATCCATAAACAGAACATTCTGACGGTCTGCATCCATAAACAGAAAGTCTGACGTTCTGTATCCATGAACAGAACATTCTGACGTTCTGCATCGATAAACAGAACATTCTGACGTTCTGCATCGATAAACAGAACATTCTGACGTTCTGCATCCATAAACAGAACATTCTGACGTTCTGCATCCATAAACAGAAAGTCTGACGTTCTGTATCCATAAACAGAACATTCTGACGTTCTGCATCCATAAACAGAACATTCTGACGTTCTGCATCCATAAACAGAACATTCTGACGTTCTGTATCCATAAACAGAACATTCTGACGTTTTGCTTTTATCTCATTAGCCTTCGTAAATATCATCTGCTACATTATTCTCTTTAATATCCGATTTTTGGTTTTCTTTTGTTTCCGTTTCCCCCCCTCATAATTAGCCTTCGTAAACAACATCGGCTTCACTACTCTCTTAATATTTGATTACTACCAAGTTCAAAGTTCATCTTGAAATTAATTGGTCATGTGATTTCCGACAACTTTCACTTCAACCGAATCGATTTTAAGCGAAATGAGGCAATTTAAAAGCTTGAAAATCCTACTCTAAATGTTGATTCTACGCGAACTGGCGAGTTTATTTTATGTTCTTTAACATAAATCGCTTTTGAAATAACACAAATGTATGGATTCGCATCCTAACAATATGAATCAAAGAGTAGTGGTGCCGTTCCTGACCCGGAAGGACCTGTACAAGTTGTTATTTTAACGATACAATGCAAAGCGTACATCAAACACAAAGGAATTGTTATTTGGTGCCTTTTTCTCATAACCAGACAAGGAATCGAGGCCATTATTGTCTTGTATTGCAACTTGTTTACTGCATTCTTCAGCCTTTTTTTTAATGTACGGAGATGTGATGAAAGTGGCCGTTTTAATAAAACTTAAAACTTCGCTTGTTTCAAAGTGAGTAATTCGTCATCGTGTAGTTAATATCGAAATTGAATCGGTGAAATACCTAATGAAATCGCCTAATTTAGCCTTTATTTAAACATGATAACAATATGTTTTAATGCTCAGCGTTAGTTCTAATGATGTTTTTACCAAGAATAAAATCCCAAACGTCCACGGGTGTTTCTCATAACACACATTAGACTACCAACACTTTATCAATAAGTACCTCTAAATATGCAGTTGGTAGAGAGTCGTTCAGCATTAAACAACACACTAGAAACACACTTTGCCATACATATTGTTTATATAGACAGGTAAACCTTGGGTGTGGGAGCTAGATGAATGACTCCCATTGGGAATACAACGTTTTGTAAAGCGTTGATGAACATCATGAATAAAGCTTGTCAGTGCAATGAGCATTGTAATCCATTCAGTGAACTTAAATGTGTTTTGTTTTCTAAAATCATCACAAAAACAAACAAACAAACAAACAAGACATCATCGTCACGGAATACTTGAACAGCAATGAGCAAGTGAATAAGAGGGTGCTGGCAGATCTGGTTGTTAAAATACCAGTCATTAAAGCGAAACACTGGAATAAACAAATATATCACTGTCTCAAGTAATATTCACTAAGACATAGAGAGCTTTAGAAGTTCTATAAAAATCATTTTCAACTCCTAGGAAGAAAGGTAAAGCATTGCGGCAAACCTGTTATTATCGCCGATATGATCTTTCTGTAATAGTGAAACTGCTCAATTTTGTTATTTTTAATACAGCACAAAATACGTCTCAGTCAAGTTTTTGTCATCACTGATAATAAGGCCAAACTTTTTTTTAAATACGTGAAAAGAGATAGCGTTGATAGAATGCACTATAACGGAAATATATACATGCACGTACGAAAAATTGCACTGAATTGGAGGAGGAAATACAACAACATTAATTAATTAACTTTTTTCATTTTAATCTTATCACGGACTAATCTTATTCCGTGATCTTATTTTAGTTGTTTCTACTTATTTCATAACTTGGGTACATGCATGCTATAATAGGCATTTGTATACGCTGTCAGCGGAAGTTACATATTCATAAAGATTCATATTTTATCATTACATATGTACATGTACCTGCCGAATATTTATGTTTTCAGATTATGAACTAGACAAAATTTAGTTTAGAAAAGAAATGACACTAAGTTAAGCTAGACGGTGATTATCAGTTGACATGGATACTGCTTGACTAGACAGAATTAATATGAAACTTGGTTTGCTGTCATCATTTCAAGTGTGCTATGCTTCCGAAACATAACAAACAATGACATTCGACCTTAACACAATACGTTAGAAAAGCATGCGCATAGAAGATCCAGATTTCACTCCGAACACCGTTTAGTTAATACTGCAAAACATAAATCAAGCATTTTGAACAGGTAACCTATTTTTCCCCGTTGTGACTATAGAGTTAATAAAGCATTCCAGAAATATACCATACCCAGCGGGACTTTTATATAACTCAATCATTTGAATGAAATTAAAAAAGGATACAAAATATGAAATAAATCAACAACAGTGTTCTGTTCTAAAACCTATTGAGCCATCTGGTCAACGGAGGTACCCTGACCCAATCGTGCTACAGTTATAGACAATGTACCCAAAACGACAAACGACATGAAGGGGGTTACTGTATAGGAAACACAACAGTGGAATTATCTGATAGTTTGCCTGCAGTGGGCCAGGAATCCTCAATGTTATGATGTAAGTATGGTAAGGAATTGTCGTGTTGAACATTTAGCCTAAACATCTAAAACAGAATCATGTTCCCAGTTAGTTGGTCCTTTCAGAAACATGTACAATTACACAGGCTTCCGATTAAGGACGTCACTCGATACAAACATTGATCGTCTACGCCAAACACACTGCTGTTAATCCAGCATCCTACTCATATTAAGTATGCATGAGTATTGAAGCATTTTCAATTCATTTAAAAAACCCATCAAACAATCAGAAAGAAGTATTAATTCTGTCAATGTATTATCAAACCTCGATTTGTTTCCATTTCAACGGACTCTAGATATGCAAATTACAACTGAAGTTTACTCATGAACGCAATATTTTCAGATTAAGAATACTTCGGAGATCTACGAAGCATACGTTAATATCTCTACCACCGAAAACAGAATAAAGAGATGTTGACTTCTCAAATATTTTAAATTAGGAAAACATGCGACGGATACCACGCCGTTTAGAAAAACTCACAAAGAGACTTGTAATAATTTATCAGAACATATTAATCAAAACCATTAACGGTTTTATTATTATGCAGACGACAACACTGTCAGTGAATCAAATAAAGACTCAGATGCTTTAAAACATAATATTGAAAATGACTGTCAAATTTAATAGACTGGTTTAAATTAAACCAGATGAAAGCAAACCCTGATAAATTCCAGGCCATTTGTATAGGGAAACGTTCGGTAGATGCTATACAGTCTTTTCGTATTGGCGAAATAGATATTGTTCCCGACAGTGTTGCTGACTTTAAATATTGAGAGTAGCAGTATTGCATTAATTTATATAAATTAACAACGTACGAACTATATGCGTGTAAGCATATCGTATGAAGTCTGCCTCCCGCCAAGTGACGAAGACGAACGCATCGCTGTCAATGTCCAAAACCATAGGCCTACGTTTCCTCTTGACGGTTCTATGGTTGACGTTTATAGTGAAAGTTCAGCCATAGTCAGGCCGTCCAAATAGCGATAACGGGACGTTGGGAGAACGAAATATTTTCCGACACTGTGACAGATCTTGTTTTGGTTTCACGACTTGGACACGCGACGGTGTGACGTCGAAATAATATCGAGCGTCTGTAGCAATTTTGCCTGAAACAAGCCATCAAATCTTTAAGTATCATCTTCTTTTAATATTACCTTAATAATCCCCTTTTCCACATAACCTCACAAAGTCACCAACATTTGTCAGATGTTGATAGCAGACGACGTAAACAAAACTTGGCAAAAAGCGCGTGCAAAAAGTCGTCCCGGTCAAAGTTCATCTTCTCGACCAATCAAAACTCTTGAAGGTCATATACCACGTGTGGTATATAACTCATATTTATCTAACAGTCTGCGTGTTTATACAATGATCCTTGTTTACCTGTATGCGACGTTGTATCTTGTA